CCAGCCCCACATGACCCAGTCTCAGCATTCACAAGAGGCTGTTCTCCTGCCTTGGGGTGAAAGGCACCACACAGCCTCCTTTCTTCCAACCAGGCATATCATATCGTCATCTCTGCACTCTCTGGGGTCACCCAAGAGCAGAGACAGTGGGCTTGGCTCCTTCTTAAGTCTAGGGCTTTTATTTGCATTCCCATTACGCCTGGGGTAGGGGGTGGCCCATTGGAGCCCCAGAAGGAGGAGACAGGAGATGGGAGATAGCTTGCCCCTCTCTCGGCCTCAGCCCCAGGCATGGGTTCTGCCCTCATCCCCACCAGCTGTGCTCTGTCTTTCCTGCCAGCTGCTGCCCTGGCCTGCCAGAGGGAGGAGAGGAGAGGAGAGGGTGGAAAGTTGTGGTGAAGGAGGGTGCCCTCCCTCCCTCTGAAGCGACAGCTGGCCTGGGAGGGGTACAGGAAGGTGGGCAGGTGGCATCAAGTTGTAGGCACCAGCGAAGCTGATGTGGGGAGGGGGAACTGTGGCTGCTTCTGCCACCACTGCAGCTGTTCCTCCCCTGACCAGTGTGAATGGTCAGCGCGGAATCAAGCCTTTCTTTACAAAGTGAAGCTGCAAGAGAGGGGCATTAGTAGAATATCCCACCATCTGACAAGCAATCGAGGGCTTGGTCTGAAACTTCAGGGGAAGGGGTTCCTACCCCACATTGAGGTGATCCACCAACGCTTCTGTCAGGCAGGTTGCGGCAGTAATAGCTTCTCGCCTCCTCTTCTCTGGGGGGAGGAAGAGAAAAGGGATGGAGGGAAGACTTGGTTTATTGTGGGGTGATGGTCAAGTTTCCTCCTCCATTCACCGTGCTGCTAGTTGCCCTTGCACAGTGCCCTGGTGGGGTAGTGGGATGCAGGCTGGGCTGCTAAGTGCATGGTCAGCAGTTTAATCCACCAGACACCCACTTTGTGTGAGAAACAGAAGGCTTCCCTCTCCCACAAAGATTTACACGCACACGCTCACAAACCCAGAGGGGCCAGTTTGCCCTATCCCCGAGGGTTGCTACGTGGTTAGCTTGTTTTTGGTGGCTTGCTCCCACTTCTCAACTAATCTCAGACTCAGAGCTGGGAAAGGGCTTTGCCAAACACAAAGCAAACCAGTAGAAACCTGTATGTACATCTATGTGGCAGGTAGAAACAACGGACATATCTACCGACAGCGGAACAATGGACCACATGTGGTGCATACACACCACGGCACACCACTCAGAAAAGAAATCCCCGATCCCACTGCGGGGCACCAGGTTGAGTGAGAGGGCCAAGCACCGCGTGCTGATCTCATTTACATGAAAGGAGCAAGTAACTGGAAGCCGAAGACTGGAGCGGTCATCCTGGGTGGTGGGGACAAAGATGGGTTTTCACTACTGGGCAATGACGTCATGCTCACGCTGGTGCGGTGCGAATGAGGGCGGCGCAACCTGCAGAACGTCATCCACGTTACAGAACTGACGTGCAGAAACTTCTGGTGAGGAGGCGTACGTTTTGTGACCTACATTTTGACCACAATCAAGTAAAATATCGAGCAAGCCCTTTCCTCAGAAACTGGTGTCCCGAGACCCTGAGGCGTCAGTGCCTGCACGCCTCTTGACTGTGGATGAAGGGCTCTCTGGGTCCCTTGACGAGGGAGTCGCAGCTTCCAGGCATCCCAGCTTCCGACTAGCTTCCAGCACCGCCCCCCGAGGGGCGGCCCCGCC